GGCAGCATCTGGGGCCTGAACTGCCCGACTGACGGCCCCTCCCCCATGCTCCCAGCCTCCGAGTGGCGAAGGCAGCCAGGCATACATCTGGCCTACAGTCCTCTTTCTTGGCAACCCCATTAGATCGCTCTTATCCTAGAAAGGAGACAGCTGTTCGGGGTGTGGCGGCGAGCCCGGGCCGGCAGCTCCCTTATCAACCTCTCGGGGCAGAGAGGCACTGTGGGATACCTACCCAGGGATCCCTGCACCCCGCTTACTATAGAAACAAGCTGTTGTTGGAGAGGTCACCCCCTGTTTTTTAGACAGGCCCGGACGTACCGGAGTTGAGAAAGTAAATGGGTTTAGGTTGGAAGTGGGAAGCCAGCCAGCATGTTTATTTCAGTTCTCTCCTTTAGAAGCAGTTGAAATGTCTACAGATAGTGTCTGATCACTGAAAACCCACCTCCCCGTAGCCCCCTTTCCTCTGACTCTCCAGTGGGAGCCAAATAGGATGGAGGGTAGGGTGTGCCAGTTTATTAAGTAGTTATGGCCTGAGTTCTGACTTGAAAGGGATGCTCCTAACTTGAGAACATACTGCTGTTGGTTGAGAGAAAAAAGGAAGATTAATTTATGCGAGGGCTGCAGTAATACGTTCTTGGTATTCTTCCCTGACATCCTGTGGGATTGCCCTGAAACACACATCTTTCCTCCGGATTTCCTAGTACGTTTCCTAATTCCAGTTAATCCAGAAGGGATGCTTTATTCGGGAGTCTCAAGGAGTTCAAACGTTCTACTCCTCTTTCCTTCCCCGGTTTCTGTTTCCCCTGCTGCCACCCCACATCCTCTGTAGGGGAAGCTGCCAGCCCCGTCACATTGCTTTCTGGTTCCCAGGCGTTGCTTTGTCAGGCTCTCTACAGGATGTCAGTACACGGTGACTGGCGATGTCCATAAATCACACCTAAACTGTTGGCCTCATCCGAACACTGTCATGGCTCGCCAGTGAAATGGGAGAGGACGTCTGTAACAACTACAGGGCACTTCATAGTGCACATGTGGGCTGGGGAGGACATGAAGGAGATGAGCCTAACGCTACACTCCATCGGAAACGTGTTTGGATCGTGGGTACTGGAGCCATGAAGTTGCTTGTTGGGTTCATTTCCCGCCCACACAGCAACTGGGCTTTACCCTGGGGACCCTGGGATAACTGAAGTGGGTCAGGCGCCCTGACTATATTTATTATATAGAGCAGGACTCATTCAGGGTTCCGACTTTTCGGGTTGGGAAAGGAGGATCTGCTACTTAGGAGGGAGAAAAGTCTGCTCTTCTGAAGGCCCTGATTTATCCATGCTACCTGCCCACATGCCCTCAGAATTTATTTATTTGTTTATTTATTTTTGGCTGCGTTGGGTCTTTCTTGCTGCGCGTGGGCTTTCTCTAGTTGCGGTGAGCGGGGGCTTCTCTTGTTGCGGAGCACAGGCTCTAGGCGTGCGGGCTTCAGTAGCTGTGGCTCGTGGGCTCTAGAGCGCAGGCTCAGTAGTTGTGGCGCACGGGCTTAGCTGCTCCGCGGCATGGGGGATCTTCCCTGACCAGGGATTGAACCCATGTCCTCTGCATTGGCAGATGGATTCTTAACCACTGCGCCTCCAGGGAAGTCCGCCACATGCCCTCTAGGAGACGATGAATTTCTACAAATTTTGTGTCTCTTTTATTCTTGAAAATAGCTTTCGGCATGGTCAGTTGGAGTCCCTGCCCTTCCCCCCTCACCCTACGCTCCTAAATGTGATGGGCCTCGCAGACTGGGTTCTGGGTAGCCAGACATCCTTAGGTGTCCCTTAGAAGGTGTTTATTATTTATTATGACTTCTGTCTTCTCTGCTAAGGATCCTCAGATAAGTGTTCAACTTGGTCTCCATTCCACTCTGTGTGTGGAGACACAGTTGAAGAGTGGAGAAGGATTTAGCCTACATGACAGGTCCAGAAAGCTGAACTCCAGGAGTGGAGTGGGGAGTCATGGGCAGTCTGCTGCTCACCTAGAAGGTCTCTGGCAAGTGCTAAAACCCACCATGACCATCAGCTAAGAAAATCTGTTAACAAGTCTTTCCAACGAACGTTTCGATCACGCTACGCTAACACAAAACATTCTTGGCGCTCAATATGTTTTTTTACCTGGGCGTCGAATTTTCCAGCGTTGTGCAGAAAAGTCATGCAGATTCCATGTAAGCCCCGTATCTCGCAAGAGTTGTTCTCGAAACATTCAAACACGCCACACCCCACGTCGCCAGCGTTGACCAAGCAGTGCTGGATTTCCGCTAAAATGAGAATTACATACAATCATATTCAAAATTCTCAGCCACGCTGGGGAGTGCAGAGAGGCGGGTTGAAATACAAGTAATGACTAAAAGAAGATTTAAGAGAAAAAGTGAGGAGTGACTATTTCGGGATCTAAAAAACCAGGGAAAGAAAATTTCATCACTTCATCTACTTATGAAAACGTATTTGTAAATATTTGTAAAAAAATTAGCCAAACCTACATTGCGAAAGTCGCCATCAGAGGGTAGGTCTGAACACTCCATTTTTCATCCTTCTCATCTTATTAAAGTATTGGTGGGAATACTTAGTCCGAAAGCATAAGATATTTCAGCTTTCTAAACCCACAGACAAAAATAAAATTTCAACCCATCCGCTTGCTCTTTCCTTTCTGTACTTCATCAATGAAATACCCTTCTCTACTTGGATGGAGCTGCTGCTATTAAATGAAGGCCATTTCCTTCCTGACCCCCAAATGAAAGCGTCCAAAAAGCAGTTTCAATTCAGCTTTATGATTCAACATCTAAAAATCAAAACAAAATTCCTATTAAGGCAGTGCCTCCAAACCGTCCGCATTAAAAATACCAGGCTGGGGAAGCTGCGGTTTGCAAGCAGGCTCGGGGATAGAGTCAGATGGGGGCTCGTCTGCAGAAATGCAACCTTCGCAGTTAGAGGCTCCTTTTAAACAGAGATCCGGGGTGAGGTGACGCTTCATCCCCTAGAATTCCCGCGACCCGGGAGTTTGCTGCCCCCCTTCGCAGAATGTGGCTCTAATTCGTCTCTGTGAAAGGACAGGCTGAGAGGGAGTTAACTGTCAGGCTGCCGCGCGCAAAGCCTGTCTTCCTTCCCTCCCCCTACCCAATTCCTTGACTTAAACCAACCACAAAATTACATCAGAAAAGTATATTTTGGAAGAAGGGCGGGGTCGGAGGAGATAATCCACATTCAGATTAAATCTGCGGAGAGAATGAGGGGCGTGTATTTATTGAGGGTCACCAACTAGCGAAAATCACGTTCGATTCTCAGGGAAAGCTCTGGGACTTTCCCTGAGGAGAGGGTGGGCGAGGGTCCTAGGATGAGCGGGGCGCGGGCCGCGGGTGCTGGCACCTGCCTATGGAGGTGGGAGACTCCCGGATGACCCCACGCGCGGCCCCGGCGCGCCGGCCAGGAGCGCGCAGGGCCGCGATTCACGCGCTCCGGGCGTCGCTAATGGGCACTCGTGCATTCCTGCTCGTGCGGTGAGCGCACGCACGCCGCCCCCGGTTTCGCAGGCCCCCTAAATAAAAGGAGGGCCGTGAAGAGCGAAGGAGCTGTAGGCAGATTTTCTTCCTCTCCAGGAGGCTGGGAAAAGGGCCAGCCCCGAGCCCTGCACGCCTGGCTGTGCTCGGCAGCTTGTGGGTGAGCGGAGAGCCGGTCAAGCAGCTGCGGCGCACGGTTCGGGCCGTGTCACCATTTCTTCCCTTGCTGACCTGCCCTGGAGCGGGGGACGGCGGCAGCACCGCAGAGGTACGCTTTTGCGCCACCCGCCCCTACCCCTTCCGAAAGGAATGCCCCCTAAGGGGAAAGTTCAAAATGCAATTTGTCTCGCCTACAAAGTTCTCGGATGTCGGGCATCTTTTGAGGAAGGGGAGAAGCGGTCCTGCCGCGGCCCGCCGGCTGGGAAGAGAAGTTCTCCGGCTTCAGGGCGCAGCCCCGCTCCGGGGACCCTCCGTGCCTCCCGCAAGCCGGTCAGGATGGAGCAGGGAGCTTTGAACCGGACCGGGGACTCCGGAGCCGGCACTGGCCGCGTCAGACGCTGCTTCACTTACCCTCGACCCAGGGAGGACAGCAACAAGTCCTGCCCCAGCCATTTCATCACCCTGCCAGCACGTGCGGATTCCGGGCGCGCGGAGCCCGGCGCGGACCTCGCTTTGCCTCGCGCTTTCCTTTGCACGTCCTACGCCACCCCAAGAGTTTGCGCGGCCCAGGGTGGGCGCCCAGTTCCGGGCGAAGCGCCCGGGGCGCTCTGCGTGGGTGCCGGGTGTCTTCTCCCAGCAGCTCCCCGCCGCTGGGGCGCACGCACTTACCTGTGTTCTGCAAGGACAGGCGGCCTTTCTGCTGGGATCCCCTGTCTTGGGGGCCTTCGGGCGGATTGGTGGCGTCGGTCCCTCGCGCCGGGTCGAAGGTAGCCAACACCAAAGCCAGGGTCACGAACTGGCGCAGCCGCTCGGCACACATGGTTCTTGGTGTAAACCTCCCGCCCGGAGACCTGGATTCTTTGTGCTCCCCTCCTCCTCTTCCTCCTCCTTCGCCGCTTCCCCTCCTCCTCCCACTCTTCCTCCTCGCTCGCCTTTTCCCTCCTTGCGGCCGCGGCTCGGATAGAGGTTACCCAGCGCCCTCCCGTAGCTCTCTGGAGAGCATGTGACCAGGCCGTTAGCGGCGCCGCGAGTGCCCGGCAGTGGCAGGGATGGTGCCTCAAATATCCCTGGAAGCTCTGGTGTCACTTGAATGAAGGAGTCGAGCAGGTGTTGTCCCGGCGGCTGGACCAATCCGAGACCCCCGCCCGTTTGACAACACGGTCGGGAGGCGTGGCCTGTGCCCAACTACTACGGGAGGAAACCGAGCGCCGCTGGGAGCGCCTGACAAAGTTGCAGACCTGGCGGCGGCCACGCGTTTGCGTGCGTGTGTGAGTGTGTGAGAGCGCGGCCGGAGATGCATGCGCGTGTGCGGGTGCTCGAGGGCAATGGCCGAACGGACTTAAAAAAATAAAAGCGAATTCCAGCTCCGGTTGCAGCTAAAGAAGGGCGAGAGGGGACAGTTTGCGCTGGGACAGCGTCCGCCCGGTCTCCTGACTCGCATCACACCCGCATCGGGCTGGGAAAGTTTCCTCTTTCTGCCTGTTGGAATTCACTTGAGATTCCCAGCCCCGAGGATTGGAGAAGTTTCCTGGATACAGTGATGCTGGGGCCAAACTGGACACATATGGGAATTCCTGGCGTTGTGACGCTTTGCATTAAAAAAAAAATCCCTCAAACTATTTAAGATAGGATCAGAGCACTAGATATAGGACTTAGCCTGAGCGACTGCCCCATCTTCCTCTTTTCGCCCCTCTTTGGTGGGCCTTCGTGCCAGATTCTCGCCCCTCCCTCAGTCCAGACGGATTCCGGGCTGGGCTGCAGGGATCCAGGTGACTGACTGGACCTGCATCATTTCCAGGCGCGGGGCTGGGAGGCCCAGGCAGCCCTGAGTCAGCCCGCCGAGGAGCATCGCGTGCCTCAGAGGCTGGAGCTTGAAAGGCAACTTTACGCGTCTCCAAACATACTCTTCCATTTTCTCAAAGCGCTACTCGCCACCCCATTCTGGTTCCCTTTACTCTTCATTCATCGGATGGAAAAGGTCAAAAAATTCTCCCCAAACCCTAAAAACAAAACCCAAGGAAATTCTCTCCGTCTCTTTTCCTTGTTCGAGCTCCCTCCCCAAGCACGGCCGGGGCTGGATTGCCCCCGACCGCTTTCTCCCCCGGCCTGCGGAAGCAGGGAGAAAGTTGGGCGCCGCTCGGAGCGCCTCTTCCCCCGCTGTGTGTGTACGTGTGCACGCTCACGTCTCCCCGGCGCCTGGGCTGGGGACAGGAACTGCTCCGGGCACCGTCAGTCCGACGGCGCTGCTCTGGGGGCTTGCAGGGCTGGGGGAGGGCGGGGACGCGAGCGCCGCGCCACTCACCCCGGGTTGACGCGCCCTCGCCCCTCCCCCGCCGTCTCCATCCTCCTCCTGGAGAACAGGTGAGCCCGGGTACCAGCTCCCACCCCCCGCGCCGGCCCCGGCCTCGGCCCCGCTCTGCTCCCTGCCCTCTGCGGTAATTCGCCGGGGAGGTTTCGTCACCCACTGCCCGTGGCGACGCGGCCCTGGGTCTCCGCGGCGGGGCGCACTGCGAGCCTCGTTGGGGCAGCCTTGTGACACGGTTGGGGGAGGGGGTGCGGAGACGCTGGGGCCGGGTCATCCTCCGGCCGCCGTTCGGCTTCCAAAGCTCCCTTCCCAGGGTTCCGGATGCACGAGGGCATTAGGAAGGGGGGTGGGGGCAGGGTGGCCGCCTCTGGCCGCGGCTGTCCAGCGCATCCAGTGGCCTTGAGGTGGGAGGAATGAAAGGAGGGGGTGGGGAAGGCGCCTTCGGGTGGGCTCTCCCCGGGGTTGCAGCGCCTGGGACCTGCTGTCCACCATCCCCACCCGATTTCAGAGCCCAGGGAAATGGTCACTTTGAGGGTCCGAGTCTGCAGCAGTGGCAAGAAACTGGCCACTCATGCCCATGATTCCAATAACAATTACTTCTTGCAGCCTCAGAGCTTTGGGGGAAGGAGGTGGGGTACAAGTACATTCAAATAGGTGGTTAGCATTTCCCACCCTGCTTTTGTTTGCGTAGTTAACTTCCTTTATTAGTTTATGAAACACCGTCTCCTGTAGATCCTGAAAAGACAAAACGTAACAAAAAAAAACCCCGGCAGCAGTCTGGCCTCACGAACTCCATAAGCCTCTGAATTACCTGGGTAGGTTTTCTTTCCTTGGAGAGCCTTTTCTGTAGGTGAGAGCATGAGCTATATTGGCATTTAAAAGGGCATCTGGTCTCTTGGTTCTTTGAGCCACAGAAATAGGAGAGGTCCACAGGGTGGGAGCAAGCCGACCTTTGTTGGATGAAGACTCTCGGAGTCTCCTCGGCCGCCTGGATCAGGGGCCAGGCAGATGGAGGTCTCTGGGCTCCTGCCTCCCAGAGCTGGGGCATGGCCTTTTGCCACCATGAAGCCCTGGGGCTGCCCTCAGAGGACCTGCATAATGGAAACATTCATCTTGGGGCTTTTTGCTCCAGTCTCACAGGGGACATTCTGGTCTCCTACCTTGTCTCCTACCTGAGCCACCTGTCCCTTCAGAACTAAAAGGAAAGTAGTGAACTGTATTTGAGGTGTTGCAAGTTACAGGTACCAGTTCTTAAAAGTTTTATCGTCAGGCCACTTGGCCAGGGCCAGACATCCAGAGAAGAATGCCCACCCCAGTCCGTCCCATCAGGGCTGAGAAAATTCTGCAGAATCGGGAGGCAGTTTCCTGGGATTACCAGTCTAGGCCACAGGCCTGGGGTGGAAGTGGGGAGGGGAGCTCAGGCTGGTGACTGTGTCGTGATCTCCCCTCGTTCCTTCTTCTAGCTCTGTAACTCAGGACTGGTTTGGCAGACTGCGGCTGGTGACAGTAGGGAGTGGGGAAGGGGCAGTAATAATGGTAGTAATTATTATTATTATTATAATAAAGGAAACATGAATTGAGAATAGATACTGGGCCACGCATTGTGCTTGCAGCTTTGGTGTCTCTCTAGGTGGGCATTGAGACTTGGGAGATGCAAGGACAGTCCAGCTGGTATTGCCCTGAGGCTCAGCAGGGAGTCTTGGCTGGCCGGACCCTCCTTCTCAGTTTAAGACCCAACTGGCAGTGGAAAGGATGAGGCAGGCTCACCTCGTGACATCCTGGGGCTTCTGTGGTTAATGCGTGGAACCCAAGTTTTCCTCTCTAACTCCACCAGTTCAATCCAAACAATAAGTAGGTTAATTCGAGTTAGACTTTGAAAGGGGAGAGGATACTGACAAGTAGAAAAGGAACAGAGGGTATCACAGGAGGGAGGACCAGCAGGGGTAAATGAAGGGAGGAGATATGGTGCGTTTTGTATCGGGAATAGGGGTTGCCCAGTTTGGTATTCAAGTGGAAGATAAAGCTGCCATCTGGGGCCTTGTTGTGGGGCCTTTGTGACAAATCTGTGCTCACCAGAGATCTTGTTTTCACATCCTGATGGCATTTAAGGATGAACCTCCAGGACCCTCTTAGACTAGATTCCCTTTTGGAGTTAGGAAAAGGTCAGGGGTCCAGTGCTGACACTGTGAAGGGGGATACGGATGAGAGGAGTGGGAAGTAATGAGTTGGAATCTTGATGTGGGTTGCTATGCCTAGAAAGGTATTCTTGGAGGATGGGAAGGTATGAGCAGGTGGGGCCTTGGAGGATGGGAAGTTGTTGGATGATGAGGCAATATCGCATAGGTTGATACTTGGTGTCTGGTCCAGGCTGTCTGAGTTCCAAAGCCAGAGTGGAAAACGTGGCTTCCTCGTGGAGAGCTCTTCCTCCTGCAAGCCACGCCCCCTTGGGGCCGACTGTCTGGGCTGACGGCGCCACCTTATGGTTAGAGAGGGAACTGTCTGACCAAATAGTGGACTCTCTCTCCCTGGCTCAAGGGCCTAGGGCACTAATACTGGGTCTTCCACCTGCTCCTCAATTTCCTTAGCAAATCAGTTAATACCGATTTAGGCAATCTCCCCCTTGCAACGACGTACTTTAATCGCCCCATCAAGAAAATCTCTCTCAAACTTTTTGCTTTTCCTCCCCCATCCTTTGCTGTGAGCCCCAAATCTACCCTCATCATGGCTCCTTTGTGTCATGCCTCTATGAGGGAAAATGAAAAAAAGGTATCCAAGTGAAACTGGACAGACAAAATAACAATAGAATGCTGCTATAAGGCTCCGAAATTCTTATAAGTAGAGGTCCCTCCCTAAAATGTCTCTGTCTTTCCCTTTATCTCCTTTCATTAAACCAGTGGTTTCATTAAATAGAATTCAGGAGAAAGGAGACTATATCTTCCATATTTGAGTTTGTTTATTGGTACTACAACAAAATTGCTCTCTACTAATTTTCACCGTAAAAGTCCAGGGCCCCAACAACATTATGAGTTAAGAGGGCTTTTGTGGGGCTGGTCTGGAAACCTCACCATCATTTATAATATTGTTTATTTAAGGAGAAAATATTCTGAGTTCCCGAAACAACCGACTTCCAAAGGTTTGGAATACACCACTTTTGTGAATTGGACATTTCCTCTGTGTTGTAGATTAACTGTCAAACCATAGTCATGGACTGACTGGAAACACAAGAGATGAAAAAGAATTTAAAAAAACCCCAAGAGAATAGGACCACTGTCTCCTCACAATAAATCCATTTACTGGAAAGAATGTAAAGCAGTAAAGTTCGGTGTCTGATTGTGGTCTGAGTTTTGTTAATGCCTTGCTCTGAAGCCTGCGGAGTATTCCAGAAGTCGTCTCCGTTTTCCTCAGGTCATGATTTTTGCTTCCGCACTGTGTGTGGAGACAGACTCTAGGAGAAAACGTCCCAGGCCAGGAGCAGCGTGATCTCCGTGGGGAGTGCTGGTGGAGCCCAGAGGTGAGCATCTATGGTCTTGGAATACTACGGAGCTTTCTCTCTGACTGGGTTTGGTCCTAGAACTATGGGTAAGGGAAGGGTCTTTTTGTGGGGCAGTTTACCAGGGAGTCAGATTTTGAAAATTTTCATGAAATGACCACATCTATTAATGTGATTTAACCATCAGTATACCATCCGGGTCCATGGGACTCAATTTTAGTGTTTGAGTTTTTTTTTTCTGAGCAGTTCTAACTATTTGTAAAGTTTTATATATCATGACTTTGGCTCTTTTGAAAGGAAATTTTTCAAAGATCAAAGAGAACATTTACTTTTTAACAAGAATGGAATAAAACTCATTCTATCTTGAATGTACCATATGGGACCATTGGAGCCATTTATGAATCTAAGACTTCACGGGATCTTAGTGATCTGATTTTTCTTATATCTTGAAATGTTTTCCATTTTATCATCCTAGGAATTATTTCATCATTACCCATCAATTATTGCCAATTATGCTAAAAATACTAAAATAATAAGAAAATGGAAGAATGATGGAATCACCATCCAGAAGGTTGATGCAACAGTGAAATAAATCATCACGATTGCATCACCCTTCAGTTTTCTTATTACATTGCTTAGAGTATTACATCATCTTTCAAGAAGGTATAAAAGAGGATAGAGGACACCATCTTCTTTTAAAAATAAATTTATTTATTTTATTTTATTTTATTTTTGGCTGTGTTGGGTCTTCGTTGCTGCGCACGGGCTTTCTCTAGTTGCGGCGAGCAGGGGCTACTCTTCGTTGTGGTGCACGGGCTTCTTATTGCGGTGGCTTCTCTTGTTGTGGAGCACAGGCTCTAGGCGCACGGGCTTCAGTAGTTGTGGCATGTGGGCTCAGTAGTTGTGGCACATGGGCTTAGTTGCTCCGCGGCATGTGCGATCTTCCCAGACCAGGGCTCGAACCCGTGTTCCCTGCATTGGCAGGTGGATTCTTAACCACTGCACCACCAGGGAAGCCCCGAGGACATCATCTTTGTAGTTTTATTATCACTTTCATTGCATGCCATGGAGAATACAGAATTTTTCATTGCCTGCACAAAATGGTGAAGAGAAGAAAATTGACAAAGGAAAATGTTTTACAGTAGTTAGACAAATCAGAAGGGACAGCAGTGACGTTGACTCTGATGTTAACTGTAAAATTCACTCTGTAAGCAGAGTCTCAGACTCCGAGTTTTACCATACAACAATCTGGATCAATTTTCTCACACTCCAGAATCGATCAATAAACAATATATTTTTGAGGACAAAAAATACGGTATTCTCATCCAGTTAGTCATTCAACAAGAATGATTTCATCACCCAGTATTTTGCAACAAGAACCTGGACTGTCCTGTTTTGCTCAAAGAAGGGGAGGCCAATCTTCTTGTACCTCTTGTGGTGTTTGTTTAGCAAAATTTCCTTGATACAGTTTGAAAGGGACAAATGATGAAGTCGGGTGTGTTTACAAAGGTGATCCAAAGAATATTCTTACTAGTGTTTATACATGTAAGAAAGAAAATGCTTTGCAATTATGGAGAAAAGAAGATGCCCGTCTTCTCTTTAGGAGAATTACAACCCCTCAAAGGTTTGAAAAGTACTAGTTTTATGATGCAAGTGCAAGAAGAACCAGAAATAACAATAAATTAGAACGTATTAGAGATTTACTTGAAATCTGAAATTAGTATTTGTGAGTTGGATCTGCCCCTGGTTCAGCTGATGAATAGTTAGTTGCATGTAGAGAATGTTGCTCATTTTGAGTTTATATACCTTCAAAGTCAGGAAAATAGGGAATGACAATTTGCTATATTTATTTATTTATTTTTGAAATATTTATTTATTTTGGCTGCGTCTGGTCTTAGTTGTGGCATGCAGGATCGTCTTTGCTGTGTGCGGAATCTTTGTTGTAGCGTGCGGGATCTACGACCCCGACCAGGGATCGAACCTGGGCCCCGTGCATTGGGAGCGTGGAGTCTTAACCAGTAGACCACCACCAGGGAAGTCCCTGCTATGTTTAAATTATTATTTTGTAATAAAAATTTAAAAGCTGTCCCTTTATTATTATTTCTGTAAATTACTCAGAAAAAGAAAAAGGCTTCATTGGACCAAATGATGATGACAGTTTTTTCCTGCTGTACTGGGGGCTGAGGTTATAGACGAGAATATTAAAACAAAAATCAAGTAAACTCCTTCAGGCAAGCAGGAGCCAGTGTAGAAGGAGCCAGTGAAGAAGCCGTTCCCCCACACCATCTTCCTTAAAACTCCCTGTTAAGGATTGATGCCTGTTTTACAGTGGGGGGCTTTGAATGACAGACATTGTCATCTAACCTCTCTGTTTATTCTCCCCTTTAGTGGAACTCAGTACTTCTCAAAATTCAGTGGGGATAAGAATTATGTATAATAAAAACATGGATACTGTGTTTTATGTGTGGTAGGCAGGATTTTTAAGATTAATTTTGACCATTCAAGATTTTTACTTTGTTTGAAGACTTTAGAACCTACTTGTCTTAGTCTGCTGGGGCTGCCATCACAGAGTAGCATCGACTGGGTGGCTTAAATGACAAACATTTTTTCTTTCTGTTTTTCTTGGCTACACTGCGCGGCTTGCGAGGTCTTAGTTCCCTGACCAGGGATCGAACCCTTGTCCTCGGCAGTGAAAGTGCAGAGTCCTAACCATTGGACAACCGGGGAATTCCCACAAATATTTCTTTTTCATAGTTCTGGAGGCTGGAAGCCTGAGATCAGGGTGCCAACGTGATTGGGTTCTTAGTGGAGGCCTGCTTCCCTGAATTATGCATAAAGAGAGGGAGAGAGGGGGAGAGAGATATATTGAGAGAGAGAAAGAGACAGAGAGAGAGAGAGATCCATCTCATATCTCCTCCTCTTTTTATAAAGATATGAATCCCATCATGAGGGTCTGACCCTCATAACCTATCTAACCCTACTTACTTCCCAAAGACCCCACCTCCAAATACCATCACACTGGGGGTTAGGCTTTCAACATATGAATTTGGGGAGGACACAAACGTTCAGTCTATAGCACTAACCCACTGACATTCAGTCATTCAGTCAACTCTTGTGTGTGTCTGTGTGTTAGACCCCGTGTTGCATACTGGACAGCAAGGAAGAGATAAACCCAGACACTGCCCTTACAGCAGTACAAATTTAGAGAGGAGGAAATAATAATTTTTACAGCACTGTGTGGTTGGCATTATGATGGAGATGAGGGCAGGGTACTATGGGAACTAAGAGAATGGTTGCCCTCAATCACTGACCCCTCAATGGTTGACACCTCATAAAAGGTGTCAAAGATGAAAAATGTTTAGTTTTTACATTCGCTTAAAGAACAGGAACTGAAGAATGGTTAGGAGGCATTTAGAAGGTGGAAACAGGGAGAAAAAGCATCCCAGGCAGCTGGACCAACATGCACAGAGGCCCAGAGGAGTGAGTGAGAGCAGGCAGGATGGAGACCTGGGTGGCCTGGTGTGGCAGGGAAGGATGGTGTTTTGGAGGAGAGGACTCTTGGCCGAACGTTGACTGGGATTTGATCCCGAGGGCCTGGTGTGTCTGTCTTCATCTGCAAGTAACAGAAAACCCAATGCAGAAGTCTTAAACAATAAAGATGAGTGTGTTACTCCCCATTCCAGAAAGTCCAGAGGTTGTGGGGCTAGTGAGGGTGCAGAGATGATTTGGAGGAGGAGACCTCCAGGGGGGAAACACCTTGAGAAGTCACGTGGCAAATTGGAGATGCGAAGGTAGAGGCAATTTTTACAAGCTTGTGGGGGACAAACTGGCAAGATAACCAGCTTTTGCACTTGAGGGGTAGATGGGGAAAATGATGGAAGTTTAAGCCTTTCTCTCTCCTTTTTTTTTTTTGGCCGCACCGCGTGGCATATGAGATCTTACATGTTCTCCAACCAGGGATACGGAACCAGGGATCGGATCCACGCCCCCTGCATTGCAAGGACAGACTCTTAACCACTGGACCGCCAGGGAAGTCCCTAAGCCTCTCTTTTACCTCTCTTTTACCAGTTCCCCCTTCACCTGCCCCGTGCTCTTCCACTTCTCTTCCATCTCCCACCCCCATCTCAGTCAGTGCTATCACTGCTTTTCTCGTTGCTCTAGCAAAAAAAAAAAAAATCCCAGGAGTCCTCTTTGTTATGAAAATGAGCCATTTTCTCCTTCCCTTCACACCTCTGTATGTAACTCATCACCAATTTGTGTTGTTTCTGACTCCAAAATACCTGTCGATTCTGTTCGCTTCTCTCCATTTCCACCATCCAAGCCTCAGTCATCTCTGTCTTGTCCTACCGTGGAGCTGACTATCTGCTCTCTTGCTTCCACTTTCGCTCACCAACACTCTCTCCAATCCTAATTCTCTGCACTGTGGCCAGACTGATAAAAAAAAAAACGACCAAACCAAGCAACCAACAAAAATAAACCCTCAACCCAATCCTATCACTCCATCGCTTGACTCCAGAGGCCTCCTTAGAATCCAATCCACACTCCGGACCACGGACCGGAAGGCCCTGTAAGATCTGGCCCTGGTGATTTTGCAGACCTCAGGGGAACCACCCCCTCACTCATTCCCTTCCAGCATCTTTTTTCTATACTACAAATAAGCCAACCTCTTTCCTGCCTTAGGGCCTTCATGCAGGCTGTCCCTGCAAATCAGGGGCCTTGATCAGTTATTATCTTGTTTATTAATTTATTTTCATTGTTTGTTGTCTTACTGTTTTTCCATCCAAAATGCATTATAAGGGCCCTGACGGAGAGGACATTGTTCGGCAAGTACAATGTCAAATCCCTGGCACCCACTGCAGTCCCTGACTCACAGCAGATTAAGTGTGTGTGTGGTTATTGAATGATGAAATGCCTTCTGGTTCCACTAGCAGAACTGGGACTTCCAGAGAGGAAACCCCGTTTGGGGGAAAGGTCGTGGATGTAAAGAGTTAGTGGGCCACCCAGGTGCGATATCCAATGCA